CATGTTAATCAGATAGTGTTAGCACAGAAAATTCAACTCAGCTATTAAAGATTTAAGCACAAAGTCCTCATCCCTCATTGAAATTTTGTCGAATGTCATGCCAAAATGATCACTGGCCTTTGCTTTTCAAACTAGGAAAAGCAACCAGTTTAATGTGGCTTTTAAATGAAAGTGAGCATGACTCTTGATGATTGCAACTTCTAAATCATCGCAAACCACACCTTGGGTTTTCTTTTTTTTTTTTTTTTTTTTTTTTAGTTTTTATCGGTACCAGGGATCGAACTCACAACTGCCTGCTTGCAAGGCAGGCGTTTATGCCACTGAGCTAAATCCCCAGCCCCTTATACTTTGGGTTTTCTAGAGCTAGCTTTTGCTAGAAACTAAACTTAGATCTCTATATGTTAAAGAGTCACATTCACCCCATATTCATATGCTCCATATGACATATGAAATCCAGTTGCTCTTATAGCTTATTGACAAAGATTCAAGGGACTGTATTTCTACAGGTTGATTAGTTATCCTCAAAAATAACAAACCAATTTAACTGTTTAGTCCATTGCCATTTTAATGAGCCCAGTCCCTCTTAATCTTGAAAACTTTAACCCTAATTTGGAAAATATCCAATTTTTTAAAGGAAAAATAGTTGAATATTTCTCTCACTCTCATCTGAAAACATTACAGCATCTTTTCCTCTTGGTAAATTTTTTTCTGTAGTCCTGAGATGATAGTGGAGAATGTCCATTTAGCAGGATGTTCACCTCTGTATTCACAATAAGAAAAGGTATTTTTAAGGAGTGTAGCGTGGTAGATTATTTCAAGACAGAATGTAGGTTAACCCAAATATCTCCTCGCACCATCCCTCTATGGGAAGAACTATGCTTTGTGTAGCCCAGCTATGGAGACACAGTTCACACCAAACAGGGTAGGAGTGGCCAAGGCAAACAGAATCCATGGGCCAGAATCCCTAGGGCATCAGGGAGGCTGAGGGATCATACTCCCAACTAGAGAAAAGAACGAGAGCTAAAGAAAGAAGGAAACATGAGAAGATAAGAACCAAAGAAAAGGCAAGAAAAAAGCAGGGAGAATGAGATCCCTGTGGGCCGGGATAATTAGCATGGATCACATATATCTTTCAGCAGTGCACTGGCTTGTCTTTCCAGCTTCAACTCCCAGCGGCTTCCTCCCATGACCCCAGCCTACACCCACGCCCAAATGTTTCCCTTAGCTCAACATCCTGGATAGCACGTTGTGACATCACTACTCTTTGTCTTTTTTCACAATTAAAGAAGATTAAAATGTTCAGTGCTATGCCTAAAACATAGTACCTGAATACCTTTTATTAGTTATTGTCTCCATTGTTCTTATTTACTCAATAAGTAGGGAAATTCATTTGGTTATTGAATACAAATCAAGTTTAAGATCTTGTGGAAAACTATTAGCATTGTGAAAATCAAAAAGTGACCTTGGGATGACCTGGAGGAGTGCTGCGGTATACAGAACAAGCTGAATCTGCATGTATTTCATATTTACTATGTATAATGCAAAAGCTATGTTTCCATGAGTCTTTAGCTGAAAACGTTAAGTTCTTTTTTATAAAACACACTTGATACAGAATGTGCTGCGCATTTTTAGTACAAAGACCATATTCACTTCTACTTCCTCCACAAAAAATGGCCAAAACAAATTTCTCTAGAAAATTCATAAAAGTACATTGGAAAAAAGCAGATTTTGGAGAAATCTAGGCAATAGGAGTTGTACTTTGAGTTTGACCTCTTCACTGTCAGTCAATGAGACAATGTGTGGGACACAATTTAGAGACAAGTACCAAGAAGAGTGTGTTGTTCATATATACTTCTACTAAAACAACACAAGTCATTTTTGTCTCTGGATATTTCAGGACATGTTGAATCCACAAGAAATACAAAAAGGAAATGTTTTTCCTGGCTATTCCTCTAGTGGCTCTCCACATCCCGACCTAGTGGGGGCAGAATCATGTGACCATCTTTTTGAGATGGAGGACATGGGAATAGCCCTTTCTCAGATCGTGCTTACAATCTACAAATTCCAGCCAAGCCAGATTTCAGTCTTTCTCCAAACTGTTGCCAGGCACTAACACCAAAAGAATTGCACTGCATAGACTTTTTAAAGAAATCAGTTACAAACCTTTTTCATTAGCCAAACAAGTTCAACTACCAGAAATATTTTGTGAAACATAGATAAAGACCTGTTGTTCTTTTGCATGGTGTTTACAGGTCAGTTCCCTTTGTGCAGCAAGGTAGAATATGATGGATGCAACACAAGTTTTCACAATGTGCAGTGTTTTTTCTCATGCTTCCTCTGCAAAGGACTGTGAATGCTAAAGACCAACGATGGGGGACCAGCAGCCAAAACAGAATTCAGGGCCATTCTCACTGACAACATTGCGGAGTTACTCAGGGAACAGCAAGATGAAGCTTTCAGCTTTTTTGTGTGTCTAGGAGAAAGTATTTCAAAGGAAATTGTGCTTGGGGAAAATTTTGTTAGCTTCAAAATCAAGAGTCATGGTACAATTAAGATGAAGGGAGGGAATCTCATAAGAAATTCCTCAAGGGTGAAACTAAATTTTCAAATCCACAAATCAGAAAAGGAACTGCTTTTTAAATACAGAGCCCTGGGAAAAACTGTGCAATTTACAAAATTATCCCATCTTCTTTCATTCGCTAAGCCTGGAAAATCTGGGCAAGCTAATAAAAATGACTGGCAATTCTGAGGTGGGTTTTCATATGCATTAATTGTAGGTCATGTACAACACATTATTAGAGCAAGATTATTACACAAATGGACAGTCCCTGAATCTTCTATAAGAAGCCCCTCCATATCGAAATAGAGGTAAAAATGAGGTCAGAATGACAGATGCTATTTCTTGATTAGACATGGAGGACTTGTGTCTTTTTGGATCCCCTCCCATGTCCCAAGGAACAGATACACTAAAATATACTAGCTGAACTTTCTCTGATGTTCTCAACTAGAAATCAAACAAGCACTTCGGGTTGACCCTGTCTACAAACAGATTCATTCACTTTCCTGCCAACCCTACATTTTTTCTTGCATGCTCTGCCACAGTAGAAGGATCCACTCAGTTTTCAGAAAGCTCTTTCCTTTATACTCATCAGAACTGACTCTCACCAAGTGCTCCTGATTCTACTTCTCAAACATCTCTTGAAATCACTGTTCCATTCCTTTTCATTGCCACAGCCCTCATTTAAATCAAAATCTTCCGTAATTCACATCACTGAAATGTTTTAGTAGCAAGTCTCTCGGCCACTCTCATCCTCAGTTCATGTTTCTTTCCTGCAGTCTGTGTCATCATGTGACCACCTGAAAGAATGCTTCATTGTTTGTAAACACAGACCTGGGAACACAAGATACCAAACCAGATACTGATAATCTAAGTTACTAAATCACAATTCTTACCCAAACAACAATTTCTAGAGCTCTTTGTCAAAGTTAAGGTACTTCCTGAAAAAGTGAGGCTTTCCTACACTAAGTCTAGAACTGACTACCTGAAGAGTCTGAGAATTTAAATGATCCTTGGATTCATATTTAAATGCTTACTACTTGACAATGTCCTTCAACACCTGCTCCTCATTATTGCTAATCAGTGACTGCATGATAAAATGTGTAGGTAGAAGACTGGAAGAACTGATTTTAGAAAATCCTAATAGAAAAGAGAGGAAGAAAGTTTTGCTCAGAGAGAATGACAAACCTTTTCTTCACACATATTTTTTTTTTTTAAATCTAGGGTAAATTTACATCACAAATTTAGAAGATGTCAGATTAACGATAGAAGAACAAAATCTGGACTGAGTGGCCATCATCACTAATCTAGGAGCATTCAGCACATGCCTGCATTAGGGTGTTTGCCAAGACAGCTGGCCACAGTGCTACCTACTCATGGGGTTGAACATTCAAAGGAAGATCAAACACAGGAACGCACTATGTGACATCAAAAGGTCAGAAAATATCCTTGTTTTGTGTAAAAAGGGGATTTAAAAGACTTTGGGAAGAGTAAATTAGACAGATATTCCAATCCACCTTTCCATCAGTCCCTCAACAGGAGCCCCAACATGACCTTCTTCCTTACTATAAAGAATAGATTGGGGAAAGAAGCTGATGCTCAATAACTAGGCATGGTAGACTGAGACTGTTGATTGTAAAGGCCTCCATCCAAAAGAAAAGAGGTAGACAGGAAATAAATATACTTAAAATAGCATGCAATGTCAGAAAATGGTCTGACCTGTACAACAGTCTGTTTGCTATTTAATCTTGAGGAAATAAGAAATGGGCTGATTACCTTATGTGAAAAGAACCTAAACCTGAGACTTTACTCAGGCACCACTAGAGTCACAGCATATCCCCAAGCTCAAGTGCAAGTCAGTTGTCAGCCATGGAGTGGCTTGGAGATAAGGAAACCTCAGTGCATTTGGGGCATGTACTTCTCCAACCATGTACTCACAGTGTGAAACCTGCTCCTGCCTTCAACCCAAACAAAAGAAATTTCTGAAAAGTGTGATTTCTCTTGGATGCTGTACCTAAGTTAACACTAAAATTTGGGATCCCAAAATAAAATATCAAATCCCACTTCCCAGACTTTCTTTTGATATGCTATATTGATCTCCTCTGTCCTTGAAGTAGGTGTGGTAGACAAACACAGTGTAATCATTGCCTTAGTTTTTAGTGGATAGATGAAATGGATAGTCTTAATGACTATCAGAATCCCCACATGGGCTCCTGGCCCTGGACATAATGGCCTTGTGGAATTCAGTGATCTAACTCCTTGCAAACTGAAGAATACATAAAGCAATATCATTGCCTATGGAAATTGAAAAAACTGGTGCAATTAAAAGTAAGTAGGCATAATGATGCCCATTGGTTTATCATTAAACTATCTGTTTGGGCTTACAATTCATTTAAGCAAGCACAAGATGAAAAGAAAGTGCAGTGAAATGAAAATCTTTTACCAAGGTCATCTGGTATCTGGAACAGTCCCAACCTGAGCTCCTTTGATTCCTGGGATGTGGATATTGATCTGGTTCCATGCTCATGCACTTGGAAAGAGGAGGCTAGAAGAAAACATTTTAAGAAAGGCTTATGTGGTAGTACACTCAGGATAGGTCCAGACCTGAATTAGAATAGTCAGTGTTAATGTGTGATCTCCCTGTGCTTAGTCAAAGCATATCCTATAGTCATTTCCTCAAGACTTTAGGTGTAGACATGGTAATCCATTTAATGGTTTTGAACAATACTTTTTCCAAGCATCTCTGCGCTTTCTCAATGGAGTCATGAGGAAGGGGTCATGATAGGATTTATTGTATAGATATCCTATCCAATGTTTACTAAACTATTTTGATAACAGTGCACCAAACTTGGCACTAGTACAGTGAGTGAGATCCCATGCCCTGGTTCAAGGACAGGTGACAGATCTGAATTTCCAAATTATACCGAATCACCCTTGTTGAAATAGACATGCATTATGATTTCTTTCTTTGTATATCATAACCGTGTCAGCCCCACCATCCATGTCATTATTAAAGTTTCTGGGAGGTCATGTGACACAGTGTTAACCTATAAGAAGCAAAGTCTGTTAGGAATTCTGGGGAGAAATTTTTCACTTACCTGATGCTCTCCTCTTTCTTCCTTACTCCCTTTCGGAATGCAGTTGGAAAGCCAACCTGATACTTGGTGTTCCAGCAGGTATCCTGAAATCATGAGGCAACATTCCTAAGTACAAAAGTATAACTGCTGAAGATGGTGGACCATAAGCGCAGAACCCTAGGCCATCTGCCACCAGACTCCTGCTGTATGACTCAGGTAACCCCTGTTCCCATTGAAGCCACATTCATAATTCAACTGCACTCTCAGCTATTAAACTGCTCAGAGACACTGGCTTGGGCAAAAGTAATGGTACCAGGTAGACCAAGTGCAATGGGGTGTTTTGTTGGTATTTATCATTTTGTGAGCCTTATCTATCCTAGACCAAATATGAGTAAGTGCTACTTTTTCTCTGCTAAGCAAAATGTATGATGAGGAACCACTGGTCACAGCCGGAATGGTACTCCTGATTATTTTACAATGACTTACTCTCAATATCCTTGTCTCATTAGCGTTTTTTTGCCCTGAGCTATGTCTGCTGTCATAGAGGTTTTGATAGTGTAGAGAGAAATTCTTTCACCAAGGAAATATTAATGTCTTCACTGAACTGGAAGTCATCAAGAAAATTTCATTATTTCAAGTAGTTTATACCACTAACAAATGTACAAAAACCACTGAGCACAATGCTTAGTGAATTTAAGTGCAGCACCACCAGGAGTAGTAATCAAGATGATTGGAAGACTACTACCTTCAAGCAGGAAGAAGCACCAGTAGCTCAAACGCACAGGGAACAAGTAATTGCACGGGCTTTAGAGCTTTGATCAATAGAGGTCTTGACAAAAGACGGTATCAATCAAGAAAAAGAGAAACAATAAAATTCTGATCGATATTAGAAATTAGATCTCTTGACTCTAACTGAATTTCCTTGTTTCCCATGTTTTATTATTAAAAACCTTTTTTTTTCTTTTTTTAAACTGCCATCCTATTATATCGAGAGAATATTATCAGTAGCTAAAGTTAACTGTGAAGGAAAGAAAGAGAGAAAAGAAAGAAAGAAAGAAAGAAAGAAAGAAAGAAAGAAAGAAAGAAAGAAAGAAAGAAAGAGAGAGAGAGAGAGAGAGAAAGAAAGAAAGAAAGAAAGAAAGAAAGAAAGAAAGAAAGAAAGAAAGAAAGAGTTAACTGTTATTCTGAATGTTGGAAAATAATGATATCGTCTCATGTCAGAATCAGAGGGAATGAAATGTGGTCATTGCCTCAGTGAGAATCTGATGACTTCAGGAAGATAAAAATAAGAGAAAAGAATGAAACAATAAAAATGTACTCATGTGCCATAAGTACCTGAGTAAAATAACTTGTTTCTAGAAGCAGAGATTGATTGCTAAGGATCAGGAAACTCTAGAGAGGGGATATAGGAAAGTGCAGCAGTCTTGTTAGAAGGTTCATACTTACATGGATGGAAAGAAGTTGAAGAGAACAAAATAGTAGCAGATGCTATGTTGAGGGTGGAAGGTATATGCATGAAGAGGATTGTGCAGGAAGAGGTGTGGAGGAAAAATAAATGATCATGCATAGGATCAAACTTCAGTGTAGCAATGTGCCACAGGTAGACAGATAAACTCCAAGAAAAACAAAAGAAAATATGCCTAACTTTTATTTGCACAGGAAGCATTTTTGCAAAGGTATCTTATTGTCTGTATTGTCTGCCACACTTAAACTTTAAAAATGCTTTAGAAACAGGATCCTTTCTTTTTCTACATTCTAATACCACATAGTCTATTTTTAAGTTTTCTAGATTTCTAAGGAAAAAGTCTTATCAGTTCCTGCTGCTCATACTCTTTCATGAAGATATGGCTTTATTCAAACCTGTTAAAAATGTAAAAGAACAAATAATATCCTGCATTCTTTTGCATTTCCTTTCATCTGAGGTCCTTAAGGCACTTTGAAAATAGCAGTTGTATCTAAATAGATGTAATATAACCAGACTACACTATCTTTTTTTTAACCAATGAGAACAAAACACAAAACAATGTAACTATTGACTCAAATAAATAAAATCTCAGGATCCAGGTTAAGAGCATCACCTACACACCAATACACACAAAAGAAAAGAAACTAAAAATAGAGCTCTTTAAGATAAAAGAAGATATGCTCTCTTTATCCTTTGCAAGAAGCAGAAGATCCATTTAATATGTAGTGTTTTCTTTATCTGTGGTATGAGAATAACAACTTTGAAGGACTGCGGGACCTGTATGCACTATTTAGACATCTTAAGAGAAAGCAAAATGGAGAAAAATCTTCCCTATATTTCCCAATTATATTTTTTTTTCCTTTGCTGACAAGTACTTTCACCATCACAAATAAAAGGGAAAGCTAAACCAGAAATAAAATTATCTCTTTTGCCAGTATCTCCATCTATAATTTTACATTAACTCATTGTCCTTTAATTTTGGGGAGCAGTGATGGCGACTGCAAAACCCTATGGAAACCCAGAGTTCCTGAGCCTTTTAACACAAGTTTGTTTATGGAACAGTCTTACATTTTCAGAACAGGATTTAACAGTTGGCAGCAGACAACAGGGCAAATAAATTTTAGGCTAAAACACTATTTCTTCTCAGCAATTACAGTGTTAAGTTCTGTGAAAACAAGTTCTTTGGAAAATAAAGTACTCTGAAAAAGTGACCACTTAAATAAGGAGATTCAAATCCCTTGATGCTTTGACTAATTCATCTGCCCCCTTTCTGACCTAAAATAAGACATCTGATCCAAAACACGAGGTTTCTTCCTGGCTGATGAAGTCAGAATTTGTCACTCGAGTCATTCAGTGCCATATATTGCCTTTAGTCACCCTAATGTAATGCAAAGTCATGGTTATGCCACTTAGGGTTTGTGAGTGGGGACTTTAATGAGGAATAAATAATTTCTCTGATACACCTAATACTTGATATAGAAAGCAATGCACATAGCATTGCTCCATCTCTTCATTACACAAAAAAAATGAGCAACATCTGCTATGAACAAGACCCTAGGAAAAGATTTGAGGCCTCTCTTCTAGCTGCAGAGTGATCTGTGAAGGCCCAGTAATATTCAGAGGCCTGAACACTCCCGAAAGCAGTCTGGAAATGAAGATTAGGGGTCATGACTGCATACACATGCACACATTTCTTCCCTCAAAGGTGACAAAGCATTAGAGTAGGAAACAACCCATGTTGAATTTTTATACTGCCTCTCTTTAATAAATAGTGCCAACAAGAGGAGCTTTACGGGTAGATTTGTTTCTTCCAGCTTTAGCTTTGTTCACAGAACTAGTGAGAATCCCTGCAGGACATTCATAAACAGACAAATTTACAATCTGGCCCCTGAAAAGTGCTCCAGGCCACATTTCATCCAGGTCACCTTTGTGATGTTTTCACCACCTGTGATGCCAGGGGCAAGAGGTCAGAGTCCTATGCACTTCCCAACACACACACACACACACACGCACACACACACACACACACACACACACACACACACACACACAGGCATGCTTCTTGCTTGCTTGCAGTGGGGTCAATTTTTTCCCATTTGTCTGAAAGCTAAAAGGCTTGTTTTAAATTTTGGCTCCTTGCTTTGCTGAGCTGCCTAGATATTGAGTATTTACCCCTTTTGGAAGCATATGCTCAGATTTCTCTAGACTGAGAAACAGAAAAATAAACTCAGAAAATAAAGTAATATAATAAAATCCTCCTGAAGTCCTCAACATCTGCTTTTTCCTTGTTGTGTTTTTAATTTAATTTGGCCACTACTTTGTACTAAATTTGCAATAGACTAATGTTTAAAATAAACAAAATAAGAGCTTTTTATCAATATCAACTCACCTATTATAATATCCTGCTTTCTTTAGGTAAAATATATGCAACCATATTTTTTGTTCTGTGCTCTTTTGTTCTGTGGTCCATTATTCCTTGCAAGGTTATCTGGATTAGATTGGCACAACAAAGAAAATAAACTCTTTGTCTCACTGACTGGAATTACACGCTTACTTGTTTTTATTTACATCACACCTGTGGCTCACCCCAAGTGGCTTCTCGGGATACCAGGCTCACTTTCTTACCCTCCGCTGGAGAGCAGTCCCACGGTCCCTCCTTCGGGAGTACAGTAGTACAGAGACAGTTTTCAGTGCCACCAGTTTCACACTGGTCTTACTTGGGAAGTTATAACTAAACAAAGACCTTTCCTTTTAAAATTATGTATTAAATGTCTTTCACAAAAACCAAATTTCAAAGCTAATTGGAAAGGCATGGCACAGGGGGCTACAAACTACATCATAAAAATAATTTTTCTTCCTTAGAATATCTGTGAATTTATCATGTGAGCTTTTATTTGTATCTGGTCAATGAAAATCACCGGTGATTCACTTGTGTAATATTCCAATTTGGATAATATTGTTTCATTCTACTTTTTATGTGAGGCTGTTTTTCTCATATTGGTGTATTTATATATATATTTCACATGCAACTATATATTTAACAAGTAGAGTGTATAATATGCAATATATAATTATATGCATCCCAAACCCATATGTGAATACATCATTCTAGATACACCAATAAAGGCAAAACACTGACATGTCATTGTGTTATATTTCTGTTTGGAGTCCACAATTATTTTTTTTTCTGATGAAATGTCATGTTATCCCATTTTCTATTGCAGTAACAGAATACCTGAGACTGTGTAAAGAGTAGAGATTACCTTTGGCAGACAGTCTGGAGGCTAGGAAGCTGAAGACCATCTCACAGGTACCTTCTGTGCTCCCGGTGAGCCCCTCTTGAGACTTCACCTCATGGCAAGAAGTGAAGGGCGACCAGGGACCTGCAGAGAGGACAAACACAAAGGGCAGCCTTGCCTCCCAACAAGCTGCTCTTACAGGAGCAATCACCGATCACCACAGTCCTGACAGGAGTGATATTCACGCTAAAACGCCACAAACCTAACACCTGCCACTAGGCCTCACCACCCAACACCACCAGGGTGGCAATCAATTTCAACATGAGTTTTGGAGAGGGCAAACCACCACATTCAAACGATTTGGAAGATATATATATATTTATCTACATATCTGTATAAATTCTGTGAGGCCGCTGTTACTCTAACACCAAAACCAGACGAGACACTACAGATCTGTATCTTCTTACTACAGAATTAATAACCCTCTACAAAATATTAATGATTGTTGAACTGCCAAATCCAGTAATGCAAGAACTAATCCTTACTATGTGAAATTTATAGCCATAATACAAAATTGAATTAAATTCCCCAAATGAACTAATGGCGTACATCACATCAACAGAATGTAGAACAAACACCACATGATAATCTCAATAGAAATAGAAGAGGCATTTGACAAGCTTAACTCACTTTTTGTGATGAAAAATTTAATGAAGTAGAAGTAGAATGCATCTTTCTTAGACTGATAAAAGGGCATCTTTGAAAAAATCCAGAGCTAACATTATATTTAGTTGTGAAATTCTAGATGCTTTACCCTAAAGTCATGGGAAAGCAAGAATGTCTACTCTTGTCATTGTTACTCCACATTGTTCTAAGGGTTCTAGCCAGGCATATTTGGCTCAGAAAAGAAATAAAATTACCTAGATTACAAAGGAAGAAGTGAAACTGTCTCTATGATGGCATGAAATTGCACACAGGAAATCCTAAGAAACTCTTTAACAAGAATTAATACTAGTCAGTTTTCTTTTCTTTTCTTTTCTTTTCTTTTTTTCTTTCTTTCTTTTTTTTTTGTACTGGGGATTGAATTTGTGACCTCACACTTGCCAGGCAAGTGCTTATGCCACTGACTTAAATCCCAGGTAGTGAGTTTTCAAAAAAACAAGATAAATATACAAAATTCAGTTTTATATACTAGCAACTAACAAGCTGAAAATAAAATTTTAAAACAAATTCACTTACAATGCTATCAAAAAGAATAAAGTATTTGGGATAAGGGGGAAATGCTAGATATTCTGAAAAATATGAAAGGGGTTTTCTTGGTTTTGCTTTGTTTTGATATGATTTTAGCAATATTGAACAATGAACACAAGGCCTTTGCACTAAGATTCATCCAAGCCATGTTTTTTTGAAATAGGAACTCTGTAAGTCTCTGTCTATCAGCTAGGTTTGAAGTCGTGACTCTTGCTTCAGCCTCCCAGAGAGATTGGATTACAGGTATATGCCTCTGTGCCTGGAAATTAAAAGATAGGTTAAAACATCTAACTAATGATATTTCATGCTTGTAAGTCAAAAGACTTAATATTATAAAGATGACCATATTCTCCAGGACCTACAGATTCAAAGCAATCTCTATTAAAAACCACAAAAAATTGGCTTTTAAAACTAGATATCAGCAAGCTGATTTTTAAATATATATGACATAGCAAGATACACAAAGTGACATTTAAGTACTCAGGAAACATAGAAACAAATTTATAACACTCAAATTTCTCACTGCCAAAACAATGCAAATCAACAGTAATCAAGAGAGTATGGAACTACTGTAAGGATTAAAAAAAAACATAGAAATCAATGAAATAGAATTGAAAGTCAAGAAATAAATTCATGAGCCTATGATCAACTGATTTTTTATGAGAGTGCAAATATCATTCAGCGAGGAACTATCAGCCTTTCAACAAATAGTTGAGGGACAATAAGATAGCCACATGCCACGTAATGAATTAGGACCTCTATCTTGTATGTAAGCAGAAATAAAATCGATCATATGCTTAACTATATGAGTGAAAACAATAAAAAGGTTAGTAGAAAACACAGGAAAAACTTTTCATGACCTTGGATTTGGGAGTGGATGCTTAGATATGATGGCAACAGCATGACCAAAAAAAGAAAAATTTAGACTTCAATGCTAAAATCTTTGTGTTTCAAAGGATACTATTAAGGAAGTAAAAGTACTAGCCTCAGAGTAAGAGAAAGAGTGAAATCTGATCAACAAACTTGTACCTACAATGTATTTAGAACTTTTATAATTATAAAAATAATAGTACAGTTTATAAAACAAGAGGAAAATTTAGATTCTTCTCCAAAGAAGAAATACAAATGACCAATAAACATATTTTAAAATGTTTGATATCAGCAACTATAAAAGAAATGAAACTCAAACCCACAAAATGATGCTATTTGATACCAACTAAAAGAGGCTTAGAATCAAAATGGTAGAAAATAGCGAGTGCAGACAAGTATGAAATTCTTCTAAAAAAAAATACTGCTGGTAGGTTTGCAAAATGATGCAGCTGCTTTAGAAAACAATCTGAAAGTTTCTTCAAAGTTAAGCATAGCGTTACCATATGACCCATCAATTCTCTCCCTAGATATCTACAAGAAAAAATAAAAACATATTCATGCAAAAACCCATACCTGGGGCTGGGGATTTAGCTCAGCAGCACAAGCACCTGCTTGATAAGTACAAGGTCTTAGATCCCCAGTACCAAAAAATAAACAAACAAACAAACAAAAAAACCCATACTTGAATGTTGAGAGTTGCATTATTTATAAAAGTCAAAAAGGTGAAAACAATCCAAATATCTGTCACCCTGTAAACTGAATAAACCTAATGTAATACTCACAGAATGTTATTTGACCTAGAAAATGAAGTACTGCTCATGCTGCAATATGAATAAACCCTTGCAAACATCATGCTAAGTGAAAGAAGCCAATCGCAAAGATTCTGACCACATATTACATGATTCTACTTACACAAAATATCCTAGAGATAGAAAGCACATTAGTGTTTGCCAAGGGCTGAGAGGGATGGAAGGGGGAGGGTAGTAGCTAAAGGACAGGAGCTGGTATACTGTCTGTATGGTCAGCACACGCCTCCTCACCTGCAAGAACATGAATAAGTTCAGTTTTGCAGAAGAAAGGAATCATATAGTCCATTTGACTTTTTGGGTTATGATGAAACCAATTTTCCTATTTCCAAATCAGCGTTTATGAAGTATAGACTCCCTCTAGAACTAAGGGATAAAATGAACTTAATATTTAGCTGAAATATAGCTGAGGATAAAAGAAAGAGATAAGTTCATTTTTTCCCTGATAAAGCTTCCCTTTGAAGAACGGTGGTGTCTCTTTCCTTTTCAGCCTCAGAAGAGCTTCATCCTCCTAGGAATATAGGACAGAGCAGCAACTTCTCTCTGTTAAAAAGTCGTGTGTGTGTGTGTGTGTGTGTGTGTGTGTGTGTGTGTGTGTGATATTGGAGACTGAATCCAGGTCTTTTGCACTGATCTACATCCCCAGTCCTGTTTTAGTTTTTATGTTGAAACAGGAATTTACCAAGCTGCCCAGCCTAGGTTCGAACTTGCCATTTGGGCCTGAACTGCTTGGGCCTCTCAGAGGTCTGGGTTCACAAGCCCGTGCCACCAGGCCAGCCTGAAAAGCCAATTGTTTCAACCAGAGAGAGAACTATTCTTCTGCAGTTAACCAGACTTATTCACCATTGTACTCAATACTGTTTTTAACACATGATATGCATAAAAGAGAACATAAAGAAGAACTAAATCATGCAGAGAAGGGGAAAGTGAGTTTTACTTAAAACTCTCAATATTCCTGCCACTTTCCCAGGAAGATTAATCTGAAAAACTAGTTATTTTCCAAGGCAGAAAATGATTGAAGCCTATTAGAGAGACAGAGAGAGAGACAGAAAGACAGAGAGAGAGAGAGAGAGAGAGAGAGACAGAGACAGAGACAGAGAGACAGAGAAAGAGAGACAGAGAGACAGAGAGACAGAGAGAGAGAGACAGAGAGACAGAGAGAGAGAGAGAGAGAGAGAGAGAGAGAGAGAGAGAGAGAGTACAAACTATATGAATAATTTTGTGCTCCCTTCAGTTCCAGCCCCACAGCTCTAGCCCCGCCCCACCTCCGACTTCTGCCCTCCTTCCTCTTACAAGTGCACCTTTGCCCAGAAGCTAAGAGGCAGCAAAGGCATTTATGGCTAAAAGAGACTCTCATAGTTCCAAGTAAGCATTCTTTACATTCTTTACATTTTTAAATACAGCAAGCTCAGGTGGAAAGACCAAAGAAAAGAGCTAACTTTTTATGTTATGGGATGCGTAATAATGGACAACACTAAAACAAAGAGGATTTTCATTTCCATGACATTTTTTTTTTCCAGCCTTTCTTCTCCACGGAAAAGTTCCAGTCTGGTAACCTGTGCATGAACCATGGGCAGTGCCTGTAAGTTGTCCCAGAAAAGAGAAAAGAGGACCAAGAACATCTGCAGCTAAATAGGCATCAAACCAACAGACAAGCTTTGGAAACACGGCTGGAGAGTTTCACAGCTCTATCTGTTAATAGAATAAGTAAAGAGCTCAGGAAGATACGACGTGGAGGCACTACCAGGCTTCCTTTACAACATCATCAAGTTACTGAACTGTAAAACATAAGGAAATCAAAAAGAGCAAAGGAATAGGCAGGTCAACAGAGTGATCCTGAATCCAACTCTTGCTTCTAGGAAGTGGAAAATAATAGGAAGGCATATTTGAATCCCAGAAAAATCCCTGTTCTTCCTAAGTGAAACCTCAGCATCAGAATTCTTTGAAACAGAAAACAAGTGATAGGCAAACACACAGTGCCCTGAATCCCAGAGGGAACTCCCAGCAGAATGCTGCAAGGGCAGATTGAGCTGGTTCTGTTCACCTTGGGAATGTTTTCCAGCATATCCTCCCTTCCTTTGTTTGAAGATTGTGAGAGATACTGTTAAGGCAGACTTGCTCACATGCCAGCAAATACTATGCCTTTATGCTGTCAACTAATTCCCCAGGAACTGGCTCATCTCCCATCACCAGGGCACCTCAGCCATCAGCCTAGGTGAGAGAGTTGCCACTTGGGAGCCAAATATGTCCTGTGATGCCTTTGTAGACACTACACATGCTGCTGCCCTAGGCTTTGGAGGACAGAGTCAGGAGGAGACAGAAAAGCAGACCTCTCTAGGGTCAAGAGAGGGGAGATTCTAGGATCTGGTGAATGAGATGACGTGAGTTTACTCAAACCAAGAGTGGCAGCAGCCGCTGGTCAAGAGCTTAGACTCCAAGCACATTCCTGGGGTTTGAATCTCCTTCTGTTGTGCAGTCTATCGGATCCTGAACCTGGTGTCCAGATTCTCTGTACCATGACCACTTGTTTGCAAAAGGGCAGAATATTCCACCCGATCCCACAAAGTTATGCTGAGGATTAAATGAGTTATTGCACATGACACAGGGCGCGGTCCTTAGTACATACTCAATCATTGTTATTATAACAATCCCATTACATGGGGGGGATTATTTAAACAAAAAAAAAAAATTCCCCAATCCTTCCTGCTCTAAATCCTCCCTCCTGGAGCATATTCAAGTTTCAAACAGTTTAAAATATGAAGTGCAGAGGCAGAAAGCCAATGACTCTTTTCACCTGGCAGAGGTTTCCTTTCTGTGCCCTCCTCCTACAACCTTTCTTGCAAGGCTTTGGCCTACAACTCCCAGTTCAACAGTAACTAGAAGAGTAAAAGGTAGTTGGGGACACCTTTTTCAGAGTCACTAAAATTAACTAGTAATTTTTTTCTTCGTAGAAATAAGGCAGAATATGCTAAGTGATTCTGTAGAGGAGAAAGAGTATGCTGGTCTGATTAGGAAAAGAGGTTGCTCTCTGGAAAGAAAATGGGGGTGGGTGGGGAGATAAATAATAGTAGGGCCATTGATCTGTAGAGGAATCACTGCTGGTGTGTGTCAGCACCCGCACTCCCAAACAGGACGTACTTTCCAGAACTTTTACCTTTGAGGTACTCTCCACTTGGCCACAGTGCCTTCCAATTAGCCCTTTGGGCTTTATAGAGAGTAGGGGATGGGAACAGCCTTCAAATCCTAACTGTAAAGAAATTCACTACTGAGAACTCTGGGCAGTGCTGAACTCAAGGCACTGAACCACCCTGGACTGCATTTAGACTTTAATTCCTGACATTCTGTTCAACAAAATCCCATGATTAAAACTCTGTGAAATCCTATTGGTCTGGGATTAGATACTTGGGTGGGTACATTTCAGTATTATTTCACATAGAGAAACCATACAGCTATAACAGGAAAGGAGACAAAAATATGGGCATGAAGTGCCCCCAATATCTTCTACACTTCACATATTTAATCTTTATAAAACTCTACAGGCAACATTGCTTTCTGTGTTGCACAGAGAGGGCAGAAGTTCAAAGAGATGCAAAGCCAGACCTCAAACCAGGGCTCCAAATCCTGCCCTCTCCAGCGTTTTCACAACAATTTGCCTCCCTATTATGTTACTGCAAGCTGGACATTCTTATTCTTTTTTCTAGCATTTTTATGGTCCTTTTCTCACTTATGAAGTGAGGAGATTAGAAT